GGCCCCCCCCCTCCTGATAACCAACCCAAAGGTGGGGACAGGTGTTTAGGTTCCCCAGCCTGCAAGTTTCTCAGTCCTGGTATTTGAGTGGTCATGTCCCACCACAGGCAGGACCACAAGGCCTCCCTATCCTGGCAAGGTGCAGTTTTTGGTCATGCCCAGAGCCACTTAGGGCTCCTCCTTCCCCATAGCCTCACCCTTACCTCCAAAATATTCCTGGGGCAGGAGCTCTATCAGGCAATGATATTCCCAGTTCTCAAAATGCTTTGCTCTTATAACAGAGCTCTTCCAAAATAGCCACTCTCATTAGCCACCTGGCAGCTCCCTGCCCCAGCCTGTAAATTGACAGATACCCTAAAGGGTGTTCTGTCATACTATGTTTACACAACACACTGCAGTCCCATGCAACAATATCCCAAGCTACTGGTAAAGGTGTAAAGTGTTAGCTCACAGACCATATTCAGTATGGTGCAAGGAAGTACTATACAGAGATGCTTGACCTAGTTTTCCATGTTAGCTTCAGAGCAGAAGCCAAAAACTTGTGTTAAAATGATGCTTCCTTTGGGCTAATGAGTCTTGCTTCTCAGTGGAGTTAATTAGTCTAGCAAAATGTAGCAGAGATGTGGCTATATTGCTGCTAGTTCCAGTACTAGCATATGCAAAATTAGCTCAGGTATCTCTGCAAAGTGCTGCCTTGTGCCATATCAACATAACCTGAGAAACATGGTAAACACGCAAAGCTTTAGAACTTGGGGGGTTAAAGTGAGACAGTAATTTTGCATAAAACTAGACATGTTTGTAACAGTACAAATAATCTTGTTACAGTTTAAATTGGCACTGAAGTGCCAAAAAAAATCTAACATCTCTGATTAGATTGAATTTAATTTTCCTGATTTAGACATTAAATAGAAGCTGTAATTAGCATCTGTCTCATGAAACTTTATTTTTAGGATAAGCTTGTACTTTATCAGTGTTAAAATTATTCTCCAAATGTTTAGACATATTTCTAATTTTGCTGAAGTATATCTCAATAGATTAACTGCAGCCCTGGGTTCCTCTCTTTGTCACCCATCCCCTGCATTTTATTCATAAAGGCCCAGCTTAAAGAACAGTAATGTTACAATAGATAGGCCTGCTTCCAAGACTGGCTGTGTTAAATGACTTGTGGCATACTTAGTTATGAACAGTTACATTACTTGTTCTTTTAATTACATTTTAATATATCTAAGAAATATGTTTTCTGGGGACTGGTAGCCATCATGTTCTCAATTTAGTATAACCTCATAAGAGGAAAAAGATAAAATACATGTTCTCTCATAAAGACTGTACTTCTGTTCTTCAGTGTTCTGTTGCTTACAATGGAAAACAAGCTGTTTTGGCTCCCTGTACCTTTTAATTTAATATTAGGCCCTTCTTTATAGGATCCTTGACCTGCTGTGATACCCCAATCTGTAGCATACTGATCACATCTTGACCTAAAGGCAGATAGTGAACACCCTTTAAATTTAAGCCCATGCAGTGTTCTCACTGGGTACTGATCTGCACAGTTATCCTTCACAGGGCAATCAGGAAGTCATCCAAGGGGACTACTGACCTGACCTTAATCCAATAGCAGTCCTTTCCAATATATCGTGTTTGGCTCAGCAGGACTGATAATCAGTAACTGCAGTTCTGTTTTCTTAGAGGCAATGACAGAGATATCCTGTGGCCAGGCAGCAATCGGGAATGCCATGGTAAACATTCAAAAAAGTCTTCCTCTCTACTTCGTTAAGTATTAGGGATTTGCATGAATTTCCCCCATGAATTTCAATTCCTGTAGAAATTATCCTTCATCTTATCCATGTAGGCTTGCAACAACTGCTTAATAAGCCCATGCATCAAACATTTATAAAATTATTAGGCTTTGAATATTCCTAACATCCATTACAGGGCCCCACTGCATTGTCAACACAACATCTGGATATAGGCTAACCAAATGCCTCCTACTGGCAGGCTGCTCCTTACATCCTGCTGCCTCTCAGGAAGCAACAAGTTAATTCCCCAGATAGCTTTCCATTCAGCCTCTGTCCCAGCTGTTAGACTATGTTCTGCTTGTCCATTGCCAGCTGGCTCTTTCCAGCTTCCACAGTGCTTCCAGCTCTTAACTCAAACCTGATTTCTGTCTTTTGAATGTCAGTTGCTTTTCTTGTTCAAGAGGAGGGATGGAGAGGATATAGACTGCCTAGCCCACGTTTTGGGAGATTTCAAAAATATTCTCCTATATTAGGAGGCTACCAAGATGTTTGAATTCTTTTAATAAAAAATGAGAGACAAGGAAAACTGGAAAAGAACCATTATTCTGGCCAAGTAGCAAGCTTCAGTAAAACATGTTTTGGGGAAAGTTTTTTAAGTCCAGAATGGTATTTGATAAAGAAAGAACCACTCCAGGTCAGCCAGTGGTCAGGATGATTGCCTGGCATGTGGGACCAAGTTTAAGTTTGTGCTCCAAAGCCAAATCTTGTGATCTCTGGCCCAGTTAATCTAAATGTATATGATGTGGAGAGCTTCCAACTGATGACTTCCAGAGAGACCTATCCCAAAACAGCCAGTAGTCCATGGATGAGAGTCACCTTCACCTCCATGCACCAATGAATATTTATTTATGCAAAGTGGAACAGTTCCAGCAAGAGGGAAACTTGCATTAGAATAGTTGATAGGCCAGTGGTCAGAGCAGTCTCCCAGTATGGGAGAATGGCAGAGCAGGGACTTGAACAATATTTCTGTCTGCCAGCTAGTGCTTGGGATCATGGGACTTCTCTGTAGTTTTGACTGTAAACTCCATCCTGGACCCAAGAAACGTTTTTCATCAAAACTCATATGTTTCTTCAAATAGCATTGGTTTTGATAAACTGTCATTCTTCCTCCTAACCCCCACGCCCAGAAAAATAACCCTCCCACTCAGCCAACTAAACAATAAATGCTCAATCAGCAATATTTAAGGGAGGTCATGGAAGACTGTACTGGATAATGAACTGAGTACCTGCTTTTGTCTTCCATTTCTTCTTTCCTACGTGTTTTTAGGAAGAGTGTACTCAGAATGAGCCAGGAGTCTCCATTACAGCACTTTCTGTGTGAAAACACATAATGCCTGTTTTTGTTCTCTTTTTTTTTTAACATTAAATTCAGCCAGCAGCTATTGTATCTATTGAGGAAGGTACTGTAGAATTACAAGCACATGTTATGGTTGTGTCTGGGGAAAAAAGAAGCAAAATGTTTATACAACTTAGACTCAATCCTCAAGCTTTTTTGGCAAATGGCTAGCACAGGCTGCATAGCAACTAAATTTAGGCAGTCAAAAGGCCCGTGCTATTCCAGTAGCAGTTGTACTGCTATGATAACACCTTTTGTAGTCCCCCACCACCTGAAAAACGGGGGAAAAAAGAAAGAATAGTGTGGTGTGGTTCAGTCTGATAGCTTAGTCTTCCTTCTCCCTTTCTCCACATGTGTTCAGTGTAAAACTGCTCAGAGATTTATAGGGCTAGTAAGTATAGAAATAATATGAATAAGTGAACGAGAACAGCAACTACAAATATTGTTAAATGGTTCTAATGGCCTTTATTTGAACCAAAATCAGTGCATAAAAATTCTTTTCCATATTTTTACACTTTTAAGAAATGTCATAAGCATAGCTGGGGAACAGTTCCAATGAATATTAAGTTAAGGTGGCCTTTGGGGTTTACCTGACATAGAATAAAATGCTGCTTCAAGATAAGCCAAATACTTTTTGTCTCCTTTCTATACGCTAATTTGCATTTTGATGGGCTTTTGATGTTTCTAGATATCCGTGGAATACAAGAGTTTTTGGACAAAGTGTCTCAGCAGGGAATGGATGTAGCACTGCAGAAAGTAGAGAACAACATCAATAAAATGATCACGGGGCTGTTTTCCACCATGAGAATAGAAGAACTAAATCGCTACCGGGACACTCTGAGGAGGGCCATTCTTGTAATGAAACCATCAACAGCCAAGTCCTTCATTACAGAGGTAAGTGATTTGAAATGGTAATTTCCCCTCCTACATCTGTTTGCTAACATTTAGAGGCCTTGGTCAAAAGTTCTATTTTACATGACTTTTAGTATAAAAAATATGTACATGCATAATAAGCTAAGCTGTCTCTTTAAAGCCAAACCTAGAATTAATTTTTAGGTTCAGGCTGAGAGTTTGTGTCTTCCATGAGAAAAATAATTCAGAAGCATACAGAAAAAACTAAACTTCTAAGCTTCTTAACATTTATGGATATTGCATTGCTATTTTCCTCTGATACATCCACTCATGAGTATCCACTTTAATCCTGAAAATAATTATTTTTTTTTAATCACACTTATGGAGATGACTGTTTTACCTGACTGTTACATTGAAATGTGTTGGCCTTTTTATTAAATTAAGCTTAGCTATGATCTATTTGATTTTCATGGGCAAATAGTTTTAAGTCAAATAAAAATACATGTCTGAAGAATTGTAAAATAATGGAATGCAGTGGTATTGACATATTTAAGCAAACTGGATTATTGGTTGAAATGTAATTCGCTAAAGTTTTTTGTTTTGGTTGGATGGATGTTGATTTTTGGTTTGAGATTCCCCCTCCCCCTTCTTTTATTCTAGTAAAACAATATATATTTTAATTGCGAAGCCAGGATGGGTTGGGGTTTTGTCACTGAAAAGTAGGAGGGAAATATTGATAAAATACAGATCTGCTAGAGATTACAGAATTATCGTGAAATTATTCTAGAGGAGCAGGTTCTGTGGCCTACTTTTTGCAGTCATCAACATGTAACAATTGAAGGCTTTGTTTAAATGGCATATGTCAGGGGTCAGCACCCTACAGCCGGCAGGCTGGATGCAGCCCATGGAGCTATTGGACCCAGCCCATAGAGCTTTTGAAATGTTTATCTGGGAGCTTCCCTGTGTTGTGCTGCATCCAGGTGGTAGGGAAAAGCAGCATCATTGACAGCAGCAGCCAGGTCCTATTGCCTGCTATCTAGGATATGAGCTGAGCCATTCTGGCCCACCGCCCCAAATGTTGCTGACCCCTGACATATGGAATGGGTAGGATCTTCAGAAGCCTCTAAGGGCATACCTACGCTATTGAAGGAACATGTTAAGGAAAGCTGCAGTGAAGCATGAAATTCCACTCTGTATGCTATACTCTGAAAAGAACGTAATGCAGCTGTTCTGGCTGTAGCACAGAGAGCTCTCCAACAAGCATACAATGGAATGTATTAGTGTACACATAATACAGTATTTAAGAGTGGCTACACTGCATCTTTTGATGTAGCACCTGTGAAGCAGGGATGGCACATCACTGTAGCTGTCTATAGTTTAGTCCTGTAGCAGTGTAGACATAACCGAGTCTCATTAGCTTTCAGTCTTTTAGTACAAGGTTTATCCCAAATTATTCAGGCATTTTGGGGAATTCAACCGTATCCCCATCAGTTCATGATTCAGAATGTCATGTTCTCATTTCCAAAATAAACCCTGTTTTCTTAGATTTAACAATAATCTCTTTCAGGTTGGATTTATTGTTAGCAATATCACTGATACAAAAATATTAAATGTATATTTTAAGTAACCTTAGTTCTGTCTGTGTGCTCCCATTGATTCAGGCGTCCTGATTTCTAAGATTAGCCAAAAAAAAGACCTACTTTTGGGTGTAGCATTTTAGTGCCTTGCACAATGAGATGTCCATATTAAAACGTAAACATAAATTAGAAACACAAAATTGCATGCCTATAAGGATACTTACACACAACATTTGTATAACTATATGTATAAATTCTCATTTAGAAAAGTAATTATCCAAACTACTTGAATTATTGCCCATTTAGACATGCGACCATGAGAAATTATATAGAAGTCACTTTAAATAACCCATTTCATGGGGCTTTGAAAATTTGACACTTAAAGGTCTAAGATACTCTGTTTATGTGAATTCAAACACATGGCTTTGACTAGCACTGTCCAGTTTTTTTGTCAGATATTATGGTATCATCTTACATATTCAAAACTCTGCTGCCTGTGACTAATATGAATGTTGCAATATCTGTTTTATTATATTATACCCATCATTGCAGAATCAGAGTGTTTTAGAAAGTATAAGAGTTAAAATGGATGAGATATCCCTATACAGTAACCCTTCCATACTTTTTTCCCTAATGCAGGCAAGAAGTGTCTTTATTGCTTTTTAATAACTTGCTCTGCAGAAAAGCCAAGTTTAAAAAGTGAGCTTTGATCTAGATCTGAAAGCAGCAAAGGTGATATTTGTAGGTATTGCAACTCAATGAGAACATGTTTGAAAGGTATATGTTATTTATCCAAAAAACATGCAGTCTTTCTGTCACCCTTTACCTTGCCATGTTTGGATGTGATGGCATGCTCTAGTAAAGTCATGGTCCCATTCTTGGAGGTAAAGTCACTAAGATTTTAAAGCTATTTTAGAAAAAAAAGGAAGCTAACCAAAAACACCAACCCCCTCCCCTCCCCCTCACCCTCCGATCCTCCATTGAGAAACATGCCTCAGTGAGGGGAGGAGGGGGCTCCTTCCATTTAATATGGGGGTAAAGCCCCTCATCTTGGATTCAAATACAAGGAGGCAGGGGCCAGGCAGTTGTTGCACCTCTGGCCTCAACCCAGTATTCAGGCTGGAGCTGCAGCTGCTGTCTGCCCCCTTGCCACCTCTGCTTTTCTTTCTTTCCTACTGCAGCCACTTCCCCCTGCCTGCCCTCCACCCTCTAACCACTTCTCACCCTTCCTTCCCCCTATTTCCCATAGCCTCTGCACCACCATGTATTTCTCCCCTCCCCCCCATCTCTTACTCTTCCACTAGCTGTGCTGCAGTCTGGGGCATGGAGCACATGCTTGCTCAAACCTCAGCAAGGCCTGATAGCAGTGATGACAGCTCTTGCCAGGCCCTGGAGCCTGCTGGAGCAAGGGTAAATGGTGGGGGGGAGTGAGGTTGTCAGGGGACATATGGCTGTGGAGAGGCAGAAGCATCATGGGGATAGGAAGCAGGGGAGGCAAGTGGTAGGGGAGAAGTAGGGGTGTATGAAGCTTCAGTTGCTGATTCAATCTGGAGAAGATTCGGTCCAATTCAGCAGCTGAATAATCAAATCTGAATCAAATTGGGAGACCCATTAAAAGCTCCGAATCAATTTGAAGCATCCAAATCAATTTGAAAAAAGATTTGGTGATTTGGAAGGCAGTCTTGCAGGAGAACAGAAACTGAGAAGAGGTGAGGAGGGGGAGAAAAATTGCTCTGATATTGACATCTGTAGCTGGCCTGTGACTGATCTTTCCCTGAGTGCTCTTTCCAATCACAGTGCTCTAGGGAGGGATGTAGAAACAGCATATAAGGCTCTGTGTGAAGCCTTTCTCTGCCTTTTGAGAGCTGTCTGTCTGGAAGCAACAGCCTGTCAAAGGTACTGGCTCCCCAGTCAGTCTCTTGCTAGTCTCTCTTCTTGGAAAGGATTGGATACACCCCACCAACCCCCCTTGCCTAGAATCTCTCTACTTATCCCTATCCAATCCATTCTTTTCAACTTATTCTTCCCCCAAAATCCTCTTATTTGTTCTTGTTATTTTTTTTGCCCTACACTTTTTAAAAAGAAAGCTGTGTTTTCCCCGGCAGTGTGTCATCCATCACTGTGCCGGAAAGCACATATATTTTACACGCGCACACACACACACACACACACACACACACA